GCGGGAGGGGCGAAGGGGATGAAGGCGGGAGAGCGGACGAAGGATGAGTCCGGTTGCCGTTGGCGCGGAAGAAAAGAGAGTCACGAGATGCTGGATAGGTTTGTGGGACCCGCAGGAGAGTCGCGGGGCCGAGATGCGGTGGAAGCTGGAACGAGGAGAGAGCCGGTGGACAAAGCGAGGATGGTGGGAAGAAGAACGACGGGGGTGCAATTGGGGTGGTGGTTTGCGCCGGAACGGAAAAGGGAGGTCGGGTGGGTGGCTGGGAACACCGGAGGATCGAAAGAGAGGAGGGCTCGAGGCTCGAAGGGGGCGAGAGAGGCAGGGGGAGGTGGCACGCGGATCCTCCCGAAGCGCCGCGCAATCCCGGGGGCCGCTTTAAATGAGTCAGCGTTTTTATGCCCGGCGATGTTGTCAAAGTGCAAACAGCGCCCGATAATATATCATCCGTTCCGCAAGCAACTCTCCGCGCTACCCTTGTACCTGGCAACGCGCTTGAAGGAAGGCATGCTGTAGGCATTACGACGGACGCCGTCCACGTTGACCACGTGTCTCCAAACGGCCACCGTCGTGTAACCTGTAACTTGAGAAACATTTACGTACGTATAAAATGTGACACTCGGTTGACCGTCGGAAGTGAGACGGGCTACTAATTTTGTATTAAGCAAATTTTTATTGGAAGATCGGTAACTTCTTCGCTGAAACGGCGGACGCGGAGCAGATAAGAGGATAAGAACGCCATGAAAGTACTACGACGGAATAAGCGAGAGGATGAAGTTTGAAACATAAACTTGAAGAGGCGATGAGAAAAAGGAGTCCACCGAGCGCGCCCCGAAGTATTCCGGTATTTCAGAAGCGCAATAATGCATGTAACAATAATGTTATAAATAACTCGCGTAAAAAAAGAAAACGCTTCATAGAAGATCGAGTGGGTTGACAACCTGAAGGCTGGATAAGCCCGTCCTATGATCATCTTGTAAATCTTAAAAGCGAGCCGCCGGAAAATAGGAGCAAGAAGAAAATGTAATTAAAAGGGAGCCAACTCGATACGAACAACAATACAAGCGCATAGTCGGGTAAGAGAAGATATAGCTAAGAGGATGATGAAAGGGAAGATCCACGATGGCAAGGGTGGCTATGACGGGAGACGTCAACTAAGCTGACAAGGTTGCTTTTCCCGCTAAGGTACGGCGGTGGGCGGAGGCATTCAACCCCGAAAGTCAAAATAACTTCCTAAACTTTAACCTCCAGAGTATAAAAGTGCCTATGCCTTTTCTATCTGCTCGCGCGAATCTCGGCATCCTGCTTGAAGTTGACAGCTCTTCGTGGTTTCGCCGAGGTAAAGCGCCGATAAAAACACGTCATATCCGCGAGTAGTTCTTGCCCGAGACCAAGTTCCGATCTCTGGTAAAAACGATTCTCAACTCATCCCGTCGAATATACCGTCGTTTCCTTCAATCTGAGCGATGCGTTAACATGATCCGGTCAATTCCAATCAAATCGAACGTTTGCAATCCCATCCCAGATATAAAGCATTCGGAAATAATTTATTGCGAAACGCAGACATCTTGTAATTTCACGTGGAGAAGCGACAGCACGTGCTGTAAGACACATTTTCAGTCGTAACTACATGTCGCTATTCCTTTCGACGCAAGTCACAAGACTCCCGCGCAATATTATTTTACTTTCGTACCACCCGCGCCCCGTTAAGTTAGGTTAAGTTTACATTTGGCGCGAACGTCCGTTGAGTGACGCAAGTGGTAGCGCGGTGGAAAAAGTTTCGCACCGGACGGTCAAATATGCCTATCATTGTGCCAACTTGTGCAATTCTCGATTATTTATGTGTACAGGCGTAAAGCCGAAAATTCTGGAGAGTCCTCTTCACTCACGTTCTGAAAACTTAATCTATTCCTGCGGTAACAATTTCTCCTAACACGTTTCATATATTACTTTAAGAGGATCTTGGAGTCGTCCTGTGGGCAACGACGGTTAACTTTGTTCGAAAAACGAAAAAAGTTTTATAATTTGTTAACTTTCTTCGTTTTTCGAGTAAAGTCAATATCACACTACACGCACACACATATACACAAATCGATGAAACAGCTTTAAATACAAATTATAAAGAAAATAAACACGAGAATTTCCTTTCCTTTTTAACAGTATATTGGTTTTTATTCCCCGTGTTGAAAATCCTGCTGGTTGAGTCAATCGTCGATTAGCTTATCAAAATTTTAAGGTAGTCATCTTTATATTTGATGGTCATCAATCTCTCTCTCTTTCTATATGCGTGTGTCCGTATGCGCGTAAACGAATATATTATACAATTGGATGCACCGTCTTATAGAGAATTGTGCACGACGCGTGCAACACGGACAAGTGAGCGAAAATAGGACATCTCCGCTCCCGTCTCGCGCACCCTCACTCAGATTGCTTCTAAAGAAAGACATAATGTGGCCTCTTCAAGGATATACCAACCCGCGACGCTATTCGTCGTGTAACATATGCTTTTATCTAAATTAAACAGTGTCGGCGCGATTTTCATTTCCTGCCCTGAAGCCGCTGATGTTATCCGTAGGATAGCGCGTCGCGAGAGCGTTGCTAAGGGTCGGGAAAGGTTTACCCTCCTACTTCAACCGACCCTCCCTTTGCTTCCCCTCCTCACCCGTCCTTCTTCCTGTCCTCCATCGCCTTACTCACCCGTCTCTGTATACCTATGCACGTTGTCTACTATCTCCCCATATTCCAACCAAGCCCTTCATACCCGCCTCTCCTTCTTCCTGATGTCAGCTCACTCGTTCTTGCGGTTAAAATATTTTCCTTCGTTCACCGTCTCTGTTACTCGCTACAGCAATGTGCGCCCCGATATCTCAGAGACTATTTACATGCGATGTATGCTATAATTATCTATTATATATATACATATATATATATATACATAAACATCGAAGTCATATAGAAAATCACACGTCGCTAATTCGTAGTTAAATATGAATAATGTCAAAATTAAATATTTAATTATCAACCATACGTAGAGGAGGATAGGAGGAGGATAGGCGGAGCGACGTGATGACACAAACGCGCTGCGAATCATCGTGCGTGGAGCGCGTATACTAACATATATTCATATTGTATGCGTAAATTAAACGTAAAATCAACGAACACACACTTGTCGTTTTATTGACTTCTACTTACCACTTACGTGTACCACAAATATGAACATCGCCATAAATAACAATATTCTTTATTCAAACATGCTTTTGTTACACAGATAACAATATTTCGTCAGATATTTAATAATTTGTTCCTTTTTCGGAATGAATATTTCATGAGCTTTTAACTAAAATATTCGTAAATTGTAGCGCAACGCATAGTATAGCGACATGACGATGGAACGAGAATTTTCAGTGGTAACGAAAACGAAGAAGGTGCGGACGAGAGTGATAACGTTCAAAAAGTTGATTGCAAGAAAAGAGTTAACGAAAGAAGCAACGAGAGGATTTTCTCTCTCTCTCTCCCCCCCCCCCTCTTTTCTTCTTTTCTCTTCTCTCTTCTTCCCTTCCTACGGCGTTACTCACCCTCCTATTACCCGTTGGCCTTCTTTTTCTATCGCAGCGATCTTTGTCTACGGAACAAGCAGGCGTAGAAAAAGAGGACGCTCAGACGACGAGGAAGCTTCAGTGAGGGGTGAATGTGGCCGAGAGTCGGAGGGTGTTCGCCCTTAGGGTGGGCGAGGAAGGTTGGAAAACCGGTGGCGCGGATCTGCAGACAGCTCTCTGGCGCGGATGGAGAATGGCTGATTCCGTGAGGAGAGAAAAGACGGAGAAGAAAGGGGAAAAAGGAGGAAGGGCGCAGGAAAGAGACGCGAAATGGGCAAAAAGAGAATATAGAATCTCGCGATGGTGAAGGAGGAGAAGGAGGAATATCGGAGGAGTCTAGGGATAGACGGACAGGATGACGCTGATCAATCTCTCGGTTTCGTATCTTGAAGTCCGGGCCCTGAACCGATTCGCGTTTTTCTCCCTTCCCACCATCGCTATTTCATAATATAACTTCGTAGGAAGTGTCCCTCGATGAAATCGAGAATTTACCGTGCATCACTACACAAGGCGTCCGCGCAACACCCTTCGCGAGCAAGTAGAGCGCATTAAACGGAAAAGTTCTTTTTATCATTTTCGCAATTAATTAATGTGCGTAGTTACGTACACTCCTTATTTATATTTACTCTCGCCTCGTCCTATCCGCCTCGTTCTTCCATAAATTTCATCGTAAAGCGACAGAGTACTCGAATGTATCGAATATTGACATCTCTAATTAATTTACGAAGTAAATGCTCGAAGTCGTTCAAACAAAATGCAGTATTATGAAATAGGAATGTAAAGTCAGACAGCACAAATCTTCTAGGGATATCCTGAGAATGTTCCGAGGACGTTCCGATGCCCTCTAAGAACGTCCATAGAACATTCACGGGACATCGTGTGCTTTTCGGGAACCTGGCGAACTAAACAAACCTGATAACCATCAGTCTAGACGATGAGTCACAACTCTTTCCACAGTTTTATGGTCTCACAGCCAATCGCTATGGTTTTCCATGGTGCAACAATTTTCCGTCTTTTTCCAATTTAGTTCCGTCTCATTCTATCTCTCTCGCTTTCCCTCTCGACTCATCCAAACCTATATAAGGGAGGGGGTTTTGAATTTTCAGTGAATAGGTAAACGTCATTCGTAGCAGAGGCATTCGGCAGAAGACGTCAAAGAAGAGAGGCCGCGTCAGTACATATACATATCATACACATATACATATATATATATATATATAATTGTCGTCAAGAAAGTCAAAACATAAATATATAGCAACGAAGTTTGTGATTCTCCCGCTGGCGACGAAAATTCCTTCCCCGCCATCACGAAGTCGACTACATGTACTACGATCCCCTGCGAAGATTACCAAGACAATTTAATACTTCAAGATCGACAATCAAAGTGATCACGTATCAAACGACAAAATGAACGGAAACTGGAACAGTGAACAAAACGCCACTTCGTCATGCGAGAATGGATCGATAAGCCAGCAACTAGTGGCACAAGATGTGCAGAATGTGGAGATATCTGAATCATCGCCCGCATCTTCTATGGAAACCACTTTTAATCAAGGTACTCGTCATACTTAATATCTAACAATTCAACATTAGCGTAAATCTTAGTAAAGGGGTTTAACCTCTAAACTTTCGTACGTTATTGTAGACGTCGTTCACAGTCGGATTTTATTAACCAACCAACTTATCCCACGTTCGGCTAACTTAGTTTCGCGCGAAATATAAAATAGCATTGTTGCCTTTTCATCTGCTTGCGTCCGCTGTAATGACCGACAAACACGCGTAAACGCAACGATCGAGTACTCCAATAATTAAGCCAATATTCACAGTCAGATCTTATATTTAAGACCGTCTTATGTTTATTTTAAATGACGTACTGCTCGTTTCATTGACTACGAAACATCTGAAGATGAACTTAAAACGATCTTAAATATCTGATTACGAACACCGGCCTCTTAATCCAACAATGACATATTTATTACTTGGCTATAAAATACAGAACGTGATAACAATCGACACTGTTTCAAAGTTATTACGAAGGTTATTCTAATAATATCCCATTGAGCGCGTCGTCTCAGAATCGAACATTTAAGATATGTTATAATACGAACCCTTCCTATATAATGTATTGCAGCAATTAATAAACACGTAACATTTTCTTTACCACGGGATTTACACCGGTTCCCGTTGTTGGGAATTTTATCGATACAATAGCATTTTTCCTGTGCAAATATTTTCAGTCTCATTTCATAACTTTAGCACGAGAAGTCACTGAAGGAATTTTTCTATAGTAAAAATTATTTAGAAAATATTATCTAACGCATATAAATTTACGGCGCTCAGAGATAATAAATATAGTCTAAGCAGAGACGCCGTTATTTTGTTATCGATCGCGTAATGAAACGGCGAAAAGTTTGAAACGCGTGAAACAAGTATCGCGATGACGACGACAGGGTAGGTGTTGTTGAGGGTCGCCCAGCGGGAAACCCATCAGCTCATAAGAATACCGATATACCTGCTGAACGCTTCACAAAAGCCCGAACATCTATACCATGTTATTGGATTAAACGGACCCGTTGCCGGATTTATGTCCGAAAATTATTCATCGATGATTGAAATCGGTTAAAAGCGACCGTGAAGAAGTTTGATTTACCTTGTCTTATGTATGCGAAATAAGGCGTTCGAAACGGAGAGCAATTTAACACGACAACATTGATTCAGTTAACAGCTTTCACATGTCAGGGTCGACACAGAAACAGGAAAAACAAGATATTTTTCCAGTGACGTCAGAGATCGAAATCTGTCGAACGAAATTTATAGCCCTTTTTTATCCTTTGTCAATTTAGACGATGAGTCACACAACCCTTTTCATGGTTTTCCTCCTCTATAGTTTATCGCTATGGGTCCACAGCTCCTACGTTTTTTCCGCGTCTTCTGTCTCTTTCATCCAATTACAAGCTGTAACTTTTCGTACGAATATATGTGCGTGTGTGTGCGCCTGTGCATGCATGCATGTGTGAGCGCACGTATATGTGCGTACGTGCGTGCGTGTATGCGTACGTGTGTGTGTGTGTGTGTGTGTATCATGTGTGCGTGCGTGTATGCATATGTGTGTAACAAGAGGGCGTGTATGCATATGTGTGTAACAATATCGCGTATAACGCATTTAACATATAAAGAGGATATTTTCAAAGTTTTTTTAAATACATGTTTTTCTTCTAAATACTGCTATAAAACAATACAGATAGAACAGAATGAAGATTTTTATTCGAAACGGCGCAAGATTACGAAATATTTCAGGAAATATATATTCGATCCAGTCATTGGTTGCTTATCGCTGGCCAGCTGAGTCACGAACATCGTGGGGAAACAAAAAGCTCGATTGACGCTTCTAAGTACAAATTCTTATGAGGAAAAATTTGACAATAAGGAAAATATTTCTAAAAATGAGGCGTATATTATAGGTGAACTCGTAATTATGAGTAACTCATAAAGAAGTACGCCGAGTGTAAAATCAGTTGTTTAGTCGTAAAAACTCGCACATCGAAATTACACCTTACATACAAATTACTTCCTTTAATTGGAATTTATAGAAATGTTCAATTACAATTTTTCAATCTTTTAAATGAAAATTTGGATGAAATTTTTTAATTTTAATTTATAGGAAACTGCGGAATTTATAGGAATCGGTTGCTGCAATCTCTCCTCCCACTAGAAATATAAAGATACAAAATCTTTCATAATCCGTTCTATTTGCGTCACTATAATTACCACTAACTTCTGATTCCAGGGAACGAGAAGAAATCAAGCAAGGGGAAACGCACGAGAACAGCCTACTCCAGCGAGCAGTTGATCGAGTTGGAAAAAAATTTCCAACGTGGCCATTATCTGTGCAGAACACGACGCATTCAAATAGCGACGGCGCTCGATCTAACGGAGAAACAAATAAAAGTGTGGTTCCAAAATCGGCGAATGAAATTTAAGAAAGAGAAGAAGGAATTGTGTGCGTCTAACGTGCAGACCAAGACCGCGGACTATTCGGGGAACATGCCAGCATGCAGCACATTACCTAAAAAACACACCTATAACACGATTTTGGAGCTCCCTGCATCATCGATGCAAAATATACACAACGCTTCGATGATTCTGAACAATAACATGGTACAAAATTCCAATCTGTCCTATGTATATCCTGGAGACGTAACGCAGAACGTGCCGCAAGACGGTTTAGCAATATCTAATTATGGAGTTATCGATCAGCAGCTCGAGCAAGCACCGCAGCAAAGCTACCATCATAATATTCCATACGACACTTTGCCGAATCAAACATCCTCGTGCCAACAGCACTTTTACTCGTATCAACAGCAGGCCGACTCTATTACTCAATATTCTCAGCCGCAAGAGAACGAGAATTTCCTTCAGTCGCAATGGAACTACGTGCCGAACAACGATGCAAATTCTTATGGACCGATACAAAATAATCACGTCAATGCCAACATCGCGAATGATATTCCGAATCAAATCACTGTGCCGAGTCTAATGCCAGAAAGTGATGAAAATCGTTATGTTAATAACATAAGCATATCCGATGCTTCATCCTGGTTCATGCAAAATAATCAGGATATAATATAAATATATGCGTAATACAGTAATATTTTAAATTTCAACAGTATTTTAGATATTAGAGAGAAAAAGAGGGAGAGAGAAGTATTTATTAATTAGGTATTAAGTGTTAAAAGTAATTCAAATACTTGTTACTGTTACTGTTGATATACTGTTGATACTACTGTTGATACTACTTGTTACTATTAATATACTGTTGATACTACGCTAAAGATATGCAAGAGATCTTTATAAATGTATATTCAGTTTGTGAAGATAAATATTAGCTTGTTAAGAAAATTCAAACATTTTAATAAATGTTCACACATTTATATATATAAATATGATTGAACTTAATGAGTCCTCCTTACTCAAGAGGTGTTGTACAAATGACTGTATATGTATATTATCCTTATACAAATGCATGTACATAGACCTACATATGAACAATACATAATATATATTATATTCTGTAAGTGTGATATGACCAAAAAAATAATAATTCTGTAAGCGAAAATAAATATGGAATAAAAACTTGGTTTTAATGATAACTGATATTGCAGATTAAAGAATAATATAGAGTATATAAAGGGTTCTATGAATGAAAGAGTGCAGAAGAATGGATGATTATAAATTGTTGAACATATATATTATCTATATAAATATATATAGCACGTATGTGTCTTGAAAATATATATTCGTATTTTAGGTAGAGTGAGACGCGCAGAGGGATGATACGAGAACGAAGTGTGGAATAACGCGGGGGTGGTAGCCCTCTCGGCATAAGGGTGGTCGCAAACAGAATGGAGGGGCGCTCTCTCGCAGTGGAAGGAAGCAAGGGTATGGGGTTGGGTTTCAACCATGATTTCCATTCGCCAGCCATCCATCTTGTTTGAGACTGGAAACTGACAGATAGACGCGGATCCGAGTGCTGGTGACGTGGCAAGTCTTGCACGCCTGTGTGCGGCTGTGCGCGCTCGAGTGTGAGTGAGCTACGTGCACTTTTGCGTGCCTTTAAACTTCGCATCCGTGTGAAAAATTCGTTTTTAGCGACACTCGTTCAGCGAAATTGCTTTTATATCTCACGCTCTGTGTAACACATAGAGCATTGCACGTACGGCTGATATATTTTTTTTCACCACCGCTCCATTAATATCGTTCTTCACGATTCGACGTGCGGATATCTCTCGCACGTCGGCCTTTAATTGTTCCGGCGCGTATTTATCGGCGAGAAAGTTCGCGAGAACTTTTACGCCGACGCGCGCGCCTCCTCGCGTGCGGATCAACGCGGTGGGGTATGGGTACACGCATACTTACATAAGGTAGCTTTCACCACGGCCGGGCTGTCTCTGCCAATAAATACAATGGACCGTGGAATGCCCGCGGATCTACAGCAGGATCTATGAGCATTTGAATCTGAATCAGACGTTCTTCGCTGTTCGGATTTACCGCGAGCGCGATTCCAAGAGATTCCACTTTTATTCCGGATGAATAATGGCCGGATAATATCGAAACAGGGTGGCCTATTATCGAAAGACCGGGGCGCGGAGGTTTTCATATTTTTCAACCAACTCCGTCGCTTTCGGTATTAACTGCAAAGCGGGGGGATACATTAGATCAACGTTAAAGAATAACGATAACGTTATCTCGATTACTTTTTATCGTGAAAACGAGTTCTGTCCGAAGGTTGCCGTTCTCGAAACAGCCAAATTACCGGCTTGCATGAGCTTGCGTGACGTTATCTGCATGCTTAAATGCGTTCTCACAAAGCGATCTGATACCGAAACTTTCACACTTCATCTCGGGAATTCTGTATAAACGATCAACGTTACGAGCTATAAGATTTATCGGACGCGCGTTTGGACGGCTCACGTGCATGCGGGACAACGTTCGAGTTTTCCTCCGGTTAAAACGGTAGAAATATTGAAATGGGCGAGGCGAAAGAATGAATAAAGATCGGAGGTGAGGGAGGAGGCAGAAAGGGGAGACGCCGGAGGGTCGACGTTGCCGGCACGTAAAGCGCGACTTGATGTGCCGTAGAAGTGAGGAGAAGCTGCGAAAAAGAGAAAGAGAGGGGCCGGTTTGCTTGCGCACGCGAGTGATATTAGGTAGAAACGCATGAACTTTGATATATTCGTGAGGGAGGAGGGGCGGGAAGGGGAAAGTAGTCAAAGCATGGAAGGTGAACGAGCACAAGGCGCCATACCGCGGCAAGTATCCGAACCATACGTGACCTGCAACTTTCCGGTGGCATCTCTTCTTGAGAAATCGATCTAGCGAATGCCGTTCTTTAGAGATTCTTCGCGGTTCTAACGTACGCGAGCCGGCATTAGCATTTAATGTCAAGTGCAACGATAAAGTTTCGTCGCCTCTGACGACACCCCCCACACGGAAATTGTCTCGATGTTTTTGTTTTTTTTAAGAGGACGTTGCTCCGAGACGATAAAAAAATTATCGTCAACCGTCCATTAAATGGTCATTAGCACGCGCGACATGACGGTGACGTGTCGCGGAAACCATTTAGATGTTACATATCTTACTTATTTATTTGTAGGTCAAGCCTACGTTTCCTTTACGCTTATTTATTACGCAGGTCAAAGTGCGACGCACCGAGCGAACGAGTGCTGCCGCGCAAACGGCGCGAAAATTCGAGACGCGGCGGCGGTGAAGGCGGCGGCGGAGGAGACGACGGAAGGCGGAAAACAACGGAAAATAAAGCAACGGAAGAATCGCGTCGCAGGAAAAAGAATGAGGGCGCTGTCAGCTGGTGGAAATTATTCTGATTATGCTAATTCCGGTTCTGTTCCACTCCTTTACCCAGGCGTCCCCCACAGCCCCGTCGCCTCCCTGCTGCTGTCTGCGCCATCTTTCATAGGTGATATTTATAATACAGGGGTGCCCGAGCAGTTTCAAACTCTTTTTGGCCCCCCTTCTATCCCTGCCCTACGCGCCCCACCACCACCACCATTTGGCCTTCCATCGAGCTCTCACCCTTGCACCCTCTTCGCTT